TCTACCTTTTCTGGCACTGAGAGGAGGAAGCTAGTCTCTCATAGTCCGGACAGTAAGAGCTGAGTGCCAGCCGTAAGCAGACTGCAAGGTGGTCATCAGTCATGGTTGATCTGTATTTTGACTTGATGATTTTCAAATGTGAAAAGGCAGACTCACACAAATATGTTGATCCAAAAAGTGCAGTCAAATTCTCTGCAGTTTGTCTGAGGTTGGGGTACTTCTCTTTCTGCATTAGATTCCCGTATTGGACATTCATGTCAGGTGTTGCTCTGGATTTGAGCTCAATGTCATTCTTCAGTGTGAGGATCTCATTCTCAACAGCACAGCTATCCAGGTTGAAGAGTAATGCCACTTTGGACGTTATACATCTACATTTTCCCCAAATGGAAAACAGAGATAGCTGACAACAGGCTCAATGGATGCAAAGTCAGTGAAGCGCCTGTCAAATTCTGACAAGATGCTCTGCACTTGCTCATCATAACGTGCACTCTCAAGCTCCGCCCAGTCTTTGCCCATAGCCTGGGCTGCCAACTCTCACGCATTGGCCGTGAGACCCATGCATTTGATCGGTTTCACACACTCTCACGCCACACCTCCGATTTCTCACGCCGAAAAAATTGGGAGACTACCATTGAAAAAGAGGGGCGCCAGAACACAACAGTAATGTAAGGTTCCCTTTCCTGTCCATGGACACGTTTACAACGCGCTCGGTATCGCGCTGCGTGGATACGACCCACCCAGCCCGGCCGGTCTCACGCCAAGGTTTTTGGAAAAGTCGGCAGCTCTGTTTCCCTGTTTCTAAATGAATCTATTAAACTCAAATTGATGTCTCGAGTTCCATTATCGAGAGTTGCTACAGTAGCATGTTAGGCTGCGCTGGTAGGCGCATTGCATTATGGGACAATATTTGGATCCATTTAAATCCCTATCTGTTATGTTCATGTTCTAGTGTTTAAGTTTATGTGTGTTTTTCTAGGTTCTGTTGTGTTGTGCTCAAATGTTACTGTTTGATGTTGTGTTGTGCTCAAATGTTACTGTTTAATGTGTAAGAGTGTGGGCACCATGACCCAACTGCCAGTATGGCTGTGGGTGAAGTTCTGTGTTCAACAACTCAATTAAGTGTCCTGGGGTCCAAATTACCCGCGATCGACTGCAACTCAGCCCTCGATCGACAGGTAGACCGCGATTGACTGGTTGGGCACAACTGCTGTAGGTAGTTCTACTATTGTTGTGATTGGAGACCAACAGCCAATCACAACTGACTTTCTTTAATTCTCTGTTTGGTTGGTTTTGGCGACGCTTTGTGTTGCGTTGCTTCGCATCACGTTGCATCGTGTTGAGGTCTGTATGATCACAAAATTCAGAGTTTACCCACCTCTAATTTTACCACTACAGCACTGCTGGAGGGTGTACCAGAGAGTGTAAAAGCTAAGATGACTCACTAACCCAGACCTGCCAGGTAGTGACTGCTGTGTGGGAGAGACATTTGCTACACCATTTACAAGACGCGACAGAAGAAGCGACAGGGGAAGATAAACAGTTAAAGGAGCTGCAGGCACAACTGCTGAAGCTCCAGCTCACCAAAGTGAGACAGGCAGGGAAAGACCCCGTGCTGTCACTCACGGTACTACAACAATTGCCGTTTCTCGTTGACACTGGGGCCACGTACTCCACCATACAGGCAGCGGGCTCATCTGCTATGTCTGGAGATAGCGTTGTGGGGTTCTCCGGGGTGTCACAGAAACTGCCTCTAACAGTCCCCCTACTGGTGAAAGTGGGAAATCAGACATTGACTCATTCTTTTGTTGTTTCGCCTCAAGTTCCAGTGAATCTCATGGGAAGGGATCTTCTCATTAAAACGGGGGCTTCAATCTTGTGCAGCCCGGATGGACTAAGCGTCACCATGATGGATGGAACGGTTCTACATTGCAATGACAATGGACAAACGAGTGGTTAGTGGGTGGTGCAACCACTGCAGCAACAACAACAATATGCAGACATTTATTGGAGCCTCTTGAAGCCTGAGTGTCCTGAAGTCCCAGGGGTTATTACTCTTTACCAAAAGTGGAAGCCTTGGATAACTCTTCTTGATCCGTATGTTCCTCCTCCAGATCCTCCTCATGTAACGAATCCTCATTGTGACGAATTCATGGAACATTTAGTAAACACATGTGTCATTGGCTCTGCATCCCAAACATCAGGCTAAAGACTTAGGTCTAATGACGAAACGGGCGCTGCACAGCTGCCTGATCTTTGTTTTTCTCCCTCCGCTAAAATGTACAGGATTACAGAAAAAGCAACTAACTCTGTTATTTTAACACACAAACAGGTGTCCAGAGACCACGGACGCGAAAAGACCAACCATCCCTGCCAGTGGCGGTTCTGGGCACGGGCGAACCGGTGCGGCTGCAGGCGCCCTGCTTGTTGGAGGTGCTGTGCACAGAAGCTTTGTGTTTGAGAAGGGGAAAAGGGAGGGGCGCGCGGGGGACAGTTCACCTCTGCGTCACCCAAATGGAACGGTCGGATAAAGGGGGGGAGCAGGGGTCGGGGAATTCACGGTTAAATACGCTAATGAAATTAGTGGGCTAAAGTCAGTCACACCCCAAACTTTCTTACAAATAACGCACATTTCAATAATGATAAATGCAAGCCTATAGTTCCTGCACATTTTTGTTTTTTATGAATTGTGTGAAATGGCCAATAAAAATTGGTAATACAAAACGATTATGTGTCACCTGTCACCAAGGTTAATTGGTTTAGTCTTCTGGTCGTGACTGACAGTGTTGGCGGGATGGGAAATCTGTTGCTTGTCGAGTCAGAGGCAAATGAAAATAGAGATGGACAGAAAAAGGTTAAAATCATCACGTTCCCACTACAGAAAGAAAAGAAAAGAAGAGGAGGAGAAACGAGCAAAAGATGGAGGAATGCAAATATGTTGTCTCTCTGTATGATTATACATGTGTCATAAATTAATTGGTGGGGTAACTCTTCCGTCTGTTAGCCTTTTTGCTATGTTGCTTAATGCTTATACAACAATAATTCGGTTTTAACTCAACAAACACGAGGTTTGTAATGTCACCATAATATCTGCTTTGCAACAAAACTGTTACAAGTTCAGTTATTATTTATTTCCATCATTTGGTTTAATGTTAGGTCCTGTCATTAACCAACGGAATTCTCAAATCTGTAGGTAGTTTCAAAGACGGACATTTGCTATTTGCTACAACTGTATTTTGTGACAAAGTATCGTTTAACAGTCAGAACTAAAAGTGTGCCATGCATAGAATTCAAGGCTGTAACCGAGGAGCTAATGTTTCCTCCCTAAAAGTTAGATTAATATAGCATGTAATGAAAGACATTTAGTGTAAGGGAATGTTTATTTAACCCTACTATATTATGTTTGGGGTCAATTTGGCCCCAGGCTGTTTTAGCTGTATAAACATAATCCTACGGCCTTTTGATTTAAATTTAAATTGCAAATCAACTACAATTTCAGGGTCATTTTAAAAATATTTTGGAGCATCCTCTGCTACTGGTCAGGAGGAGCCACCTACCTCCCCTGCTACACATGACTCTGCTGGAATAGTCTCAGAGCGTCTTCTGGAATGGTCCTTCAGGATGAGCTACCATCAATCTCCTCAGCTACACAAATATCTGATATTGAAGATGAAGACCTCTTTGCCTGTACTTCTCCCCAGCATGAGCCTTCAGGTGAGTTTGTGTGTGTGTCTGCTACGTACTTTGAGTAATGTTTTTGACTAATAGTGCCAATATGCTGTCTGATAGAAATGCATGGAGCTGAACCCCCACTGAGCCCCACTGTTAAGGATGAGCCTCTCTCAACCGACCCTGCTAACTGACCCTCACATCTGACTGACAGTATTCGGACTGAGCTGGTTCACAGAGGACCAAGTAAGGTTCCACCTGCCTTTGTTTTCCGTAGAAATGAGAGTGATGGGAGATGTTGCCACCACCAATATTTTATGAAGACATTAGTAAGTGGTGAAAAGTTGGCTGATTTATTCAATGACGAACAACAGCCTCTTTTGCTTCTGCTGCAAATTGTTTTTCAAGAGGAACATTAATTTAAGTGCAGCAGGAATGGCAAATTGGAAACATGCAAGCGATTACCTCACATCCCATGAAAACAGTATTGAACACCTCAATTGCATGAAAGCATGGAAGGAACTGTCTGTGAGGTTACAAAGTGGGAAAACTATTGATAACCTGGAGATGGCACTTCTGGAGGCTGAGAGGGTCAGATGGAGAGAAGTGTTGACACGTCTCACTGCTATTGTGCAGTCACTGTCAGTTCGAAATTTGGCTCTAAGGGGACACGCAGAAACACTGTTCACACCATCAAATGGAAATTTTCTCAAAGAGGTTGAACTTACGGCCATGTTTGATCCCATTATGAAAGAACACCTTAACCGTGTTGAAAGAGGAACAGCAAGTCAAAACAGCTAAGGCCATCATGTGCAGAATGAGCTGATTGAATTGTTGAGCAGCCAAATCATCTCTGCTATAGTGGATTATATCAAGCAGGCAAAGTTTTTTTCTGTGATTCTGCACCACAGATATAAGCCACATAGAATAGTTGTCAGTGGTCATTAGAGTGGTGTCACTGATGGAGAAGCCCCATGTCATGGAACATTTTATGGGATTTTTGGAGGCAGAGGAGTCAACAGGCCAGAACTTGGCATCCATGATCCTGACGAAACTTTGAGGACTCCTTTTGAAGACTGCAGAGGACAGTCATATGACAACGGGGCAAACATCAGGGGCAAAAATAAGGGAGTTCAAGGCTCTTAGAAAAGAATCCCAGAGCTCTGTTTTTGCCATGTGCCGTGCATACATTGAATTTGGTTGTGTGTGATGCTGCTAAGAGATCTGTTGATGCTATCAGTTACTTTGGTGTCCTGCAAAAGCTATACACATTATTTTCAGGCTCCACCCAAAGATGGGCCATACTGAAGAAGCATGTGAGCATCACTTTAAAGATGTGGGCAGAAACAAGGTGGGAGAGCAAGGTCAAAAGTGTTGAGCCCATGAGGTACCACGGAGTTGCCGTGAGAGAGGCTTTAATTGAGGTGAGAAACCACACCAAAGACCCTGCTGCAAAGGCAGTCTTTGTCTGAGGAGGTGGGGTCATACTACTTCAGCATTTGCACAGTTGTTTGGTATGACATGCTATCTTCAATACAGCATGCCAGCAAACTCATGCAGTCTCCTGATATGCATGTGGACCTGGCTGTGAGTCTTTTGAAGAAGACTGCACAGATTGCGGCCAAAGACATTTGTGAAGAAATGAATGTGGAGGCTGTTTTAAAACCAAAAAGGCTGAGGTCTACAAGTGCCACTTTTCATATGAATCACATGATGAGCCTATCAGCGATGCACTTAAGACGTTGGAGGTTGGATTCTTCAATGTTGTCGTTGATGCAGCCACATCAGCCATCAAGGAGAGATTTTCCACATTGGAAAATAAATTCAGGGTGTTGACACATTTCCCAAGTCTTGCAAGATGAAGAGCTGGCAGAGCAATGCGAGGCACTAGGCACCACACTGCACTTTAAGGGGCACTCTGATTTGGACAGTAGAAAGCTTGTGCAGGAAATTAAGAACTTCCCTGACCTGCCATCAAAGACCATGAGCCTCCTTGAGCTAATCACTTTTGTGCATGACAAGGATCTATCAGAGATCTACCCCAACTTTTGGACTGCTCTCAGGATTGCACTTACTCTGCCAGTCACTGTGGCTCAAGCAGAGAGGAGCTTTTCCAAACTGAAGTTGATCAAGTCATACCTTAGGTCAACCATGTCCGAGAAACGGCTCACTGGCCTTGGTGTCATCAGCATCAATCATTCAATAGGGGAGCAGATTTCATACGACATTATAATAAGACATTATTGATGATTTTGCATCAAGGAGGCCAGAAACGTCAGGTTTTAGATTTAGTTTGTGTTTTCTGTTCTTAGTGCAATAGTGAAACAGTTCGATTGTATTTAGTGTGTTTCCACATTTGTGTGATGAAGAATTTGTGCTATTTACAATATTTATTCTATATTTTATTTGTATATTGTGCTTTTGTATTGTATATTTGGTGCAAATGTGTGTTTCCTGTTGTAATTGCAAGAGTAACTGGATTCTGTTAATTGTGTTTTTCTAATGTAATTCTCTCACTTATGTTAAAATAAAAAAAATAAAATACAACTGCAGTATTTTGTGAACTTTTTTTTTTTTGGAGGGGGGGGGGGGTGGGGGGTCCGACTGACGTAGGTTTTTGTAACGCATGTAAACCAGTGACGTTTGAAGTTGATGACGGTCCTCCCATTTGGCAACCTCAATACCTTCACAAGCCAGCCGCTGCAGAAGGGATCAAAGAAACTATCGAGGGCCTCATCAAATCAGGTGTATTGGAGCCCTCACAGTCCGCCTGGAACATGCCCATTCTTCCTGTAGAAAAGACAGGGACTGGTAAATATCGCATGGCACATGACCTCAGAAAAATAAATGACAGACTGGTAACCACTACAGTACCTGTCCCAAACCCGTACACTACATTGACTAGTCTGACACCGCAACAGCAATGGTTCACTTGCATTGATTTGGCGAACGCGTTCTTTTGCCTGCCGCTACACAAAGACTTACGGGATGTGTTCTCATTCACGTATGAAAACAGACAGCTGCGTTATACTCGGCTACCACAAGGGTTCGCGCTTTCGCCAGGTATCTTTAACCAAGTGTTGAAACAAGCGTTAACAGGGTGTCCCCTGCCAGACGGCACGACATTGATCCAATACGTGGACGACATCCTCCTCGCATCCACTTCAGCGGAAACCTGTTTGGAAGCAACAGACACCGTCCTACGCCGGTTGGCCGAAACAGGTTTTAAGGTCATTAAGTCTAAGTTGCAGGTCGCCAGACGACAGGTTTCATTTTTAGTTAGAGTACTGTCGGGAAGTGGCTCAGGGCTCTCGGCCGCTCACAGGTCCAGTATTCTCCATCATCCACTTCACAGGGTTCAGTAGACAATTAATTCTGCACTATTCGAATCTCACTCAAGTTCTGCGTGCGAAGGTAAACGAGAAAGGATGCGAAATCTCACTGCTGATCTCAAATGGGACCAAAGAGCGGAGGAGGCGTTTATCAAGCTAAAAACAGAACTGGCACAGGCCGCGGACCTTGCAGTACCGGATTACAGCGCGCCGTTTTACCTGGATGTTTCTGAAACAATAGGGGTTGTTAATGGGGTTTTGTTTCAGAAAAAGGGGGGTGGTAAAAGGAAGGTGCTTCTGTATAGCAGTGTCATGTTGGATACGATGGAAAAACTACACCATGAATGCACACAACACGCAGCAGGGGTTGCAAAGCTTGTAATGAAAACAGCACACATTGTCATGGGCCATCCACTACATGTGCTAACAACACATAGCATAGTAGCTTATGTAAATTCACAAACTTTTACGATGATGTCACTAAGACAAAGAAGGCTGAGTAAGCTGTTAGAAGCTCCAAATCTCACCTTCACACATGAAGGCATCAACATGGCTGATCACATGGAAAAGGAAGAACCACACCAGTGTGAATATAAGGTGGAACTGGAAGCAAAAGTGCGAACAGACTAAAAAGGCACACCACTGACACACTCTGATTGGCAATTGTTCACTGATGGCAGCTGCTTTAGACATCCACAGAAGGGGTTGCAGTCGGGATACGCGGTAGTCAGAAGCCATGGGGCAGGGACAGAGGTTCTGGAAGCAGAAAGGATCCAGGGGAGTCAGTCAGCTCAAAGAGCGGAGGTACTTGCATTTATAAGAGCATTACAGCTGGCAGAAGGGAAGGCAGTAAACATCTATACTGACTCGGCGTATGCAGTAGGAGCAGCTCATGTGGAGCTGGGACAGTGGAGGTTTTCTGATGGCTGGAGGAAAACCAATTAAACATGCACAAGAAATGAAAGATTTGGCAGCAGCCTTGGCTCTACCTAGCACCGTGGCTATTATTAAGTGCAAAGGACACGAGAACTCCGAACGCTCGGAATGGTGGCCAAGGGAAACCAGGCAGCAGACCAAGCTGCAAAACAGGCTGCAGGTTACCAAATCGGGCTCCAAATGGTAGGTGCAGAAGATGAGGTACAGTTGGGGCCACAACTTAATGCAGAACAAATTAAGGAAGCCCAGAAGGGGGCGTCTCCTCAGGAGAAAATGGTGTGGAAGCAAAGAGGGGCTACAGAGGTTGGAGGCCTCTGGAGGTCCCCGGATGGTCGCCCAGTGCTGCCGTCGGGCATCAGAAACAAGTGTTTACAGGAGGCACATGGGATGGCTCATGTGGGGCACAAAGAAATGAACAGGAACCTCTGTCATTGGTGGCATCCGTTTTTAGCGGACATGACACGTCACTTTGTTAAAACATGTAAAACCTGCATCACGTTTAATCCAAAACCTACGGTTAAGCCAGAAATGGGGGTGTGTCATTGACTATACTGACATGATCACACGACACGAAGGAAAAAGGTATCTCCTAGTATGCATGGACGCCCTGACCGGCTGGCCAGAGGCATGGCCCACGAAAGAGGAGGATGGCAAATCGGTGATCAAATGTCTAGTAAACCATTACATACCAAGACACGGGTTTCCAGAAAAGATCAGGTCGGATAATGGCACCCACTTTAAAAATCAAGACCTGCAAGAAGTGGAAAAGATGCTGGGCCTGAAACACGCATTTGGTACAGTATATCACCCACAATCCCAAGGCAAAGTAGAACGCATGAACCAAAACTTGAAACAAAAATTGGCTAAAATCTGTGCACAGACAAATTTAACCTGGGTTCAAGCGCTCCCACTCGCGTTAATGGCCATTAGAAGCTCAGTAAATCAGGGTACAGGTTTCACGCCGTACGAACTGACCACCGGAAGACAGTTCCCTGGACCCAGTGCCGGCCTGGAGCTTAGGCCCAACCCGGAAACTCCGCCAGGTGAGTATGCAAGTCATTATAACGAACTACGAGCTCTCGTTTCAGATTTTGCGGATCAGGTGCAAGACAAAACAGGGGATCAGAACGCCCACAACCCCCACACGGCAGCCTGGGTCCTCCTGAGGGTCATTAAGAGAAAGTGGTCAGAGCCGCGGTGGACAGGATCGTACCAGGTGGAGGAAAGAACCTCACATGCAGTGAGGCTGAGAGGGAAAAGTTATACCTGGTACCACTGGAGCCAGTGCGCCACCGCAGAGGAACCAGCTCGCACTCTCCAGGACGTCCTGAAGGATCAGGAGCAAGAGGCGGCAACGGGCACCGGAGGGTCCCCAAACGCACTCTCGACGGACAGTTGACCGACAGACACCCGGAGCATGGTGAGCTGTGTCGACTGTCTACAACACAAAGTAGAAGACCAAGAATAAGTGTATAGCTATCCTCTCCTCTGTTCTATCTTTCTCAATTCTCCGTATTAGTTTAACAAGAATGTAATATGCCCAACAAGCTTAGCATTGTTATAATCGCTTGGTGTGTTGTGATGCTTGTTTTTGCATTAGTCCTTATATATTTAGTCATCACAGGTTGGAGTGCTGGCGCAGCGAGTATAATAGTGACCTGAGTTGCTTTTGTTAATCCTTATCGAAAAATTATCCGTGAATTTCCGTGGAACAAGAACCAGACACAGCAGGCAACAGAAAAACAGTGTTCTGGGGTCCTCTGGTGCTGCTGCTGTAAAAAAAAAAAAAAATTTAAAAGGAGGAAAAAGGTTAAAAGTTCCTGGGGAGACTGTGCTCCACCGGTCTTAGACGGCCGCAGCATCTATGATGGGGAACTACTCCCAAGGACGAGGTCTCCAAGCACTGGGAGGGTGGAGATGCATGGGCGTCCTGCTAATAGTCTCCGTTGTCATAGTGGGGAGCATCATATGGGTTTTTGAAGGCTCAGCCGTCACCCCAATGCGACCCCCACTGTCCTCTCACGCCCAAAACGCCACGTGCCCAGGACGTGTGTGTGAAACGGGATAACCTTACGATACGTTAAGGGAAGCCTGACTACCTTCCAGTTCGACTTATGCGCCGTGATAAACTGTCATGGACAAAACGCGTCAAAAAGGGCATATAATCTATACCTCTGCGCTAATCGGGAATTCCATCATTGGTGCTATGAGGGGTGGTAACAATACAGCGGGCGGTGTAAATCATGGGAAGACGTAGCAAAATACATTGGTAGACGCTGGACCCAGAACGGTCCCAACGTTGACCGTCTCTGGTGGTCAAACATCTCTTTCCACCGAGACACCCGAAGATCCAACCAGGTTAACCCAATTAGTCTTACACTGGGCGGATTTTGTTTTGTCTATATATGCCAAGGGCATATATATATATATATATATATATATAGGAGGATTTATTTTTTTCACCTTGGGGCTTGAACAAACAGGGGATGATCCCCAAGGGATAATGCCGCTTGCTTTTGTTGATCCTCCGTCATCCCGTGAAGCGAGCCCGGACGGACAAGGTGCACGTGCTATAGCCGTCGACTACTCCCAACTGAGTTCTGTAGACATACTTGAACGCGCTACCGGGAAGACAACCTATGGCTCAGGTGGCTGGCCCAAAACGCTAAAGAACATGGCCAGGGTAACTGTATAGCATGTGCGTCAGGCCGACCGCAATTGACCACAGAGCCGGCTCCGCTGCATCAAGAAGATACTTGGGGGTATAACTGTATGCTGGGGCTATTCTACAGTAAGAGGGGCCCTCATCGGGGAATGGGCCCGAGGGGGGCTGTATTACTATTGCGGAGGACAGAGGCTCTTCCCCAGAGTTCAGGACAAAACCATTGGGAGGTGTGCAATGGTCAGACTGGCCGCACCAGTTTGACCAGAAACAAACTGGTGAAAAACGTAGAGCACGGAAACGCCGCACTCACTAAAAAGCGTCGACGACACATCCTGAAGCGCGCAGCCTTCGACCCAACTCGTTCCTTAGACCCCACTTACCGGAGCCCCACTTTTATTGACGCCATCGGGGTGCCGAGAGGGGTTCCAAATGAGTACAAGCTAGTGGAACAAGTTGCAGCCGGGTTCGAAAACCTCCCGATCATATCCGCTTTCTTCCAATAACGGCCAACAAAAACGTAGACTCTGCATCCGTATTATCACCTCGGCGGTTCAGTCTGGGGATCAAAACACCATGATGCCGTTATTGGCCTGGAAAGGAGGTGAGAACTCAAGGGGAGGGGGCAGATGTCCTCCAGAGATTGGGGTGATCTCTGAAGAGATCAAAAGGGGGAATTGTGAGATGCGTGTTGTGGTAAAAACATTCTGTAAACAATTGTCTTGTGCTAAAAGCCAGGTCGCAGTGGTTGACCCTGAGATGGAGAGAGATAGAAAGATTTAGGGTTTGCAGCTGTGTTTGGGGAAGGGGGTCATCTTACTCTCACGGACCTTCGATCAGAGGAGCATTGTGTGTTACCCTCAGCTTCACCTGAGTTCTTATCTCAACTTGATTTGTGGCTTCTCGAAACTGGCGCTAAGAACTGTCTTCAAGTGTATAAAAACTCCTCGGAGACACCATTACACAGAGCGCTGGAATACGTGCTGGTGTGTTGTTAAGTCATTTGTCAGCAGTAACATGGATGTAACACTGGACCGAGATTTCAAGGTCAAGATTATTTTCTCTGCTTTGCCTTCTTTCTTTCAGAAATCTCCAGTGAAGGAGATCATTAAAGTATTGAATATTCCCCCTTACTGTTATACCTCCTGCCTTCATTTCCGCCTCAGGAGTGAAGATCCCCCGACATATTCAGGGCTTGTAAAATTCAGCAACAAAGCTTTCAACCACAGATTGAGTGGTGAGTGTTTTTCCAATAGTTGGTTGTTAGTTTTGGAGGTCTTCTTAAAGGTACCGGACTCCAGAATGGGAAAGAGAGGGAAGCGGGGGCTTGTGATGGGTTGCTTTTTATATTTCCCTTTATTTCTTTGACTAGATTTCAATGGAACAGCAATCGAATTGAAACACTTGTTATGTGGCTGAATCCTCAAGAAGAGTCGAATAAGTATATGATTCTTAAAATAAACAAATCCTAATTAATTACCGAAATGGACGAGCCGGGAGGCGTGAGAAAGCAGTCATTGCTGCCTACCTGGCAGCCTGCTTTAGTATTCCCTTTATGCTGAGAGGGATTTTGAAGTCAGCAGGGAGCAATTTTTGGATTTGCTGTGAACCTGCTTTGAATATGAATTATTTCACTCTGCACGGTGTGCACAACGCTCACTCGTTTGGACTGATTTTGCCCATCAAAGGGTGTGCAGTTTTTTAAATATTACATCAACAGCACTTATTTGCTCCCTTTTTTACGGATGAGGTTAATAAGAACGGTTAATGAGAACGCTCTGCTGGAAACCGGTTAGATTGCTCCCTCCATGTTGAGACTGACTGCGTTGGAGTAAATTGGGGTCTCGTTCCCGAGCGATCCTCAGCATGGTGACCGGGCTCGGCCTTAGAGGAGCTCTGACATGAGGAGGGCATCTAACGCCTCCTGGACGCCTCCCACTTTAGGTTTTTCAATCTCCCAGTATGAGCTGGAAAAAGATGAGACCCCCCCACCTCGGATAAGTGGAGGAAAACAGATGGATAGGAAATAATTTTTTTATCAAATAATGCCATTTTGGCTCCAGTTTAAACACAGCAATAGCCAACCCAGATTCCAGACAAATGAAGATCTGGAGGATAATCCCTTAAACCAAGGACGTGTTCCAAGTATAATATTATGTATAAACCCTTAACAAGTTTTGAAGAAAGTTTACTCCAAGATGAGTTTTGGTTTCCACAGTCCACTTATTAATACTAATAAGGAGCATGGAGTCTTGCTTCACGATTTCTAATCTAATATTGCAGGAGAGGCTGGTAAGAAGAATGGTGGCTCATTGCTGCTGGCCTCTGGCTACAATGAAGCATTAAACATTGAATCAGGACTTGCATACTCTAATAATCCCCAATGGCCAAGAACGAATGTATTTACAAAATTTATGTTATTACTTTAAATGTAAAATAACTATAATGAAAAGTTTATTTTTATCTAGTCTTCATTCAGGACTAATGAAAAATATGCTGAATTGAATATTTAATTGGTAAACATTAAGTTTGGCTACAAACCAAAGCTTGATAACTTGCAGTATTCAGCTCTATCTAAACATCATATTCAAATTTGTTAAAAAGATACATGGGTGGTTTGAATAAAGATTTGGCAAGCACCTTTCTCCACATTTCATTGTGCTTAAAACAAAACATGACACTCATCAAGTGCAGAAGGTTGCTGATCCGAAGGCTTCATATCGTCCAATGATATCGGAAACCTGAACTTGAATAAGTACGTTTTCAAAACCCCAGAAAGGAAAAACACACCAACAAAGCCTTTTGGAAGACATGGGACATCGTAAACTCCATGGACTATAAAAACCATGAAACATAAAGAACTACCCTGACAAAAAGACAAAAAAGCACATTGGCTTTTCTAAAATCCGTCTTCCAAATGAACTCTGAATTTTTGCAGCCACTATCTGGTCCTTCCATCACCACAGGGGACGCAGGACTGAGTGGAGAAGACTGTCAGACCCTGCGGCAGTAAAATTAGGCTTTGGGGCAAGAACACACAATCATAAATATCCACACAGATCACCAAAGTGTCCATATTCAATTACAATAACATTTGACTCCATGTCACACAGACAATTTATGTAACTCACTCTGATATGTCCCTGATTGAATATACCCGACAGTCAACCTGAAATGCAGCAACAACTCAAGACATGCAGAGCGGAAAGAAAATAACACTCTGTGCATTAACATGTTGTGTGTGGGAGGCGAGCTGTTAGCGGACACAGCTGACAAAAAAGTGGTTCCACAAATATCTACACTAGGATAAAAATATAACACAAGTTTAACATTTAGTTTAAGCAAATAAACGGGTCGACTGCATGTTTTGGACTGAATCATCTCATCAGAGTTTGAATTTAATTAATCAAATAACTCGTGAAGGTAATTATGCTGACACACTATAATGATGAGGTGGTGAACATGTTAAACCTTATAACTTCTAAACACCAGTATCTTGCATTATCATGTTAGCATTTAAACCAAAGGGTTTGTTTTTACTCTTCTACACTGACAGCATGACCCTCATTGACACAGAGCTGACGTAAGAGCTGTCTTTGTGCATGAGCCTGCTGTTTCGTCAACCTGTCCTCTCCTTTTAATTCCACCCTTGTGTACCCGCATCGCCATCTCTCTTTTTCCACCCTTTGTGAGACACTTGCTGCTGTCAACCTTTTTCCTCTCTTTTTCCCATTAAATGCCTTCTTGTCTCCTCCTCGGCATGCCAATCCAGTCCATTTTCTGTCCTTCCTCTCACCTGCCTCTTCGTGCTCTTCATTCCATCTTGGACGCTGGTTAATCTGTCCATTCACATTGTCTTTTGAAAGAGCAACAAACCTGATCACAACTTGTTTGTGACGAGATCAAACTCATTTCAGCAGAGGATCACAGACAGAGGAGGGGCTGAGGACAGTCAGAAGAGAGAGTTTTAAGGTGAAAGGGAGAAAAAGTTGAACGGGACCATCGGGCCGCTGGACCTTCTGGTGGCCATCTGCATGAAGGTTTGTGCAGTAATAGCTGAGTGACTCATTGCTCTTATCCTGCACACATCCTACACGACTACTCATCGGACTCTGCCACAAACTGGCTCTATTCAATCTCATCCCAGCACCTCGTGCCTGTGAGGGATTAAACTCTTTATCCTCCAGACTGAGGCTGGATATTAGTACCGACAGGGCCTGCGCCTGTCATTGTGTTTTCTGCTGCATGTGTGTGCTGCAATCCCTTTCGTTGCATGGTAGTGTGTGTGAAATGGCAGCTGCAGGTGTGTGTTTGTGTGTGAGATAAATGAGAAAAAAAAACATTTGGCAGGGTCACAAAGAAGGAGCTGGGAGTGGTGCAAAACATAAAGCAGTTAGCCGGTTCAATGTTGGACAACCTGAGCGTACCCCTATCTACCACGTGTGCAAAATCCGGTCTGAAAAAAACCTGCCTGTAGGTGTTTGTGTTTCTTTCAGTGTAGGTCTGTATGTGTGTGTGAGATGAAGAAAATGACAAAAGGAATTAAAAAAGGAAAACTGCATTACTGTCTCCATAGGGCAGATCGCAGGGCACCTAATCCATTCCTTTGTCAGAAGAAAAAGGCGGCCCGAGAACTAATAGCCCGGCTTGTGTGATCAGTCTCATGTTGCATACACTAACCAGCCGGGGGCCGATGCTGCTGTAGGTTAATGAATAGTGATGGAGGGATTCAAAGTCCAAACGTGGCCGTTCTCAGCACACACACACACACAAACATACCCTCACCTCTTCAGTTTGCCCTCACTAATGTGTTGCATGCTCTGGTAGCAGCCATAAGGGCCTGGACAGCGTGTTTTCTGGTTTTAGCAGTTGCCTCAGGCGCAGGCGACCCAATGAGCTGCCTCTCAAGGACAAAGTGGGCCTGTGAGGCCAGTGAAGCAGACCAATCTGGAAGCATATTGTTATTTTTTATTTTTCTTTGGACTTTCCCCGTGTGCAAATTTAGTGTGGCAGGGGTTCACATTATCCCACAGGTCTGAAACGGTCAGTGTTTTCAAAGTAAGTACTGAACATGGAAGTTTTTGTACACACCCAAGAGGGGCTGAATCACAGACTTTGCAGTTGTGTGGGACAGAGATCTGAGATTGTCCCATTCAGTTAGTTTCTCTGTCCGGGTCATGCCAAATGCTGGGCCCATCCCACGTCGATATTGTACATGAAATGCATTTTCCAGAAAAAAACGTGTACTTCTTGAAATGTACACTGAAAAAAACTGAACTTTATCCTGATAAAGTGCTTTTAAGTCAAATGAGATGAGGTTAGTTCAGATGAGATTAGATAGGTCTTTATTGTTCTCCGAAGGGAAAATGCAGGTATTGCAGAACATTAATGCATTACAACATGGAGAAAAGTAAAAAAGAATTGCAATCATTTAGAATGAAAATATATGTATTATTTCCCCTTCTGGTTACTTTGCACAGACCACACCTGTCTTCCAACTCCAGTACCTTTCTGTGTCTCCTCCCCTGCTCTCTGTATGTGTGTGTGTGTGTGTGTGTGTGTGTGTGTGTGTGTGTGTGTGTGTGTGTGTGTGTGTGTGTGTGTGTGTGTGCGCGGCATCAGCTCCATGCCGCACCTGCTTACAATCAGAACATCAGCCTCAAGTAGTTCAAGGACCCCGGCTCTCTTTCCACCCAGACTGTTTCGTCAGCTCAGTGGAAGTCTGAATCTCAGCTGCTCTGTGTTTTTTTTTTTGGGGGGCTTTCTACTTTGGAATCTACATTCTCATTTATGCCCTGTGCCTCTCCCTGCTCGGCCGTCATGGGTCAGCTCTTGGCTCCAGTACAACCTGGACTATGGGCCTTCACTACATACCAGGTGACATTAGATGACATTATTTATAAAAGGGACACACGTGACGCTTTCCACTCACTCATATTAATCCCAACCAGGATTTCCTAAATCGAACTAACTAAGACCCTGTGGTTCTTCTACTCTACTAACTGTCTCATGGGACAAGTTGCAGAAGGTTTCAATGTGCAACCAAACATATGAGCCAGATATTACACGCTGCACGTTTACAAGGTCATGTCTCGTAGCTTTGTGACCTTAGCTTTTAGTCACATTTAATATCCATATTAAACTCCTTTTCTTCCCTTCTCAGGCCCAGGGACCCCTTGTGTTGTGTCTACAGCTGCATAATAGTCTAGGTTGCAGTACTTGGATGTCTATTAGATGTCCCTCCTAGAACAGGTCTATAGCAGGGGTCAGCAAACTTTTTGACTCGCGGGCCACAATGGGTTGTAAAATGTGACGGAGGAGCCGGACAGTTGGTTGAAGTGTTTGTGTGAACTAATAGAACAATCGCTGCAATACATTATTTTCTTGGCTGCATCACAAACCAGCCATTCTAAACTGGACCTTCACTTTTCATTCAGTCTTTTCTTTCTCTTTGTTTATTTGTTGGTTTCATGACCAGTTCTTGTGTCCTGCGGGTTTTCCTCCACCTGCTCTGCACCGCCACGTCCTTCACCTACACTGCGCAGTTCTATCAAAAGGATCCACTTGTCACGTGTGTGACGCCTCTATGTTGCTTAGTAACGAGCGTACGGTGGCCGAGACGGTTTAACCCTGTCTTCTCACGATGTGGCGTGTGAACTGTGATGTTACTAGATGTTACTGGTTACTGTTAAGGTAAAGAACTCCATCACCCAGCATTCCCTAGTCAGTGCTGAGGGGACATGCGCAGTGCGGAGCGCGGCAGACCCCGGGTAGCATTACAGCGGACTGTGCTAGTTGACATTAAAAGTTCATGAAACGTATATCACGCCTCGCCTGCTTATTATAAGAATACGCAAGGTACAACATGGTGTCAGAAGTGGCCGTGAGCAGCTAATGAAGATAGATTTGCCACGGGAGAACGACGGGAAAAAGAGAGAAAAAAAGAAATCTCCGGTCGCGTGAGGTAACGTGCTAACAAGTCAACATGCTAAAAGAGTTTGCTACGTCGTGTGATGGCTACAAGTGGCAGTGGAAGTGAAGCGGGAGATGAAGGACAGATCGAACATATAGAAGAGGATCTTGTGCCTGAAGCAGAGGACAACCGGCAACGCGAGAGGGCTGGCGAAGTCCCTGTACCCCGACTTTCAGTAATGGAGAGGCTAAGTCCACCTACTTCCATGCAACTGACTGGTAATCTTGCTGATAATTGGAAGCGTTTTAAGCAACGATTCAATATATATTTAGCAGCAAGTGGAGCAGGGGCTGATGATGAAAAACTGAAAGCTCACATTCTTTTGCATGTTATGGGAGAAGATGCTTTGGACATATATAACAGCTTTCAGTTGGATGAAGCTACTATGACCTTAGCAGAATTAATGATAAAGTTTGAAGAGTACTTTGTGCCTAGCCAGAACGTGACGTTTGAGAGGTACAAGTTTTTCACCCATGACCAGAAGCAAGGAATACATTTCGATCAGTACTTAGCAGAGCTTCATACATTAAGCAAAACATGTGAATTTGGCACCCTGAGAGATTCTCTGGTGAGAGACAGGATAGTTTGTGGCACAGTGGATAATGCACTCAGAGAGAGACTGCTCAGAGAAGCTGGACTTACACTGGAGAAGTGTGTCACTATGTGCAGAGCAGCAGAAACAACTCGAGCGCAAGCAAAAGAGCTTCGGAGAGGTGAAACTACAGTGCATGCAGTACACAAAGAACAGAGAAATAAGAAAACATTTACTAAACAAAAAGACTGTAAAGAGAAATCTGCAGAATTCAAATGTGGTAAATGTGGAGGCAGCCACAAGCCAAAATCATGTCCTGCGTATGGAAAATCCTGTAACAACTGTGGAAGGAACAATCACTATGCAAAATGTTGCAAGTCCGCTTTTAAGCAGAAGGTTCACGCAGTTGGTGAGGAAGAAGAGGATGATGGGGAGTTCCTTGTGGATGTGGTGCAGGCTCGGACTGATGAAAAAGAGGAATGGATTGTGCCAATCGAAGTGAACAAGACGGTAATACCATTCAAGCTAGATACAGGTGCCCAGGTAAACCTGTTATCTTATGAGGATTACAAGACATTGGCAGTGAAAAGCAAAATTCATCCAGTAAAAACAAAGGTGACAGGATACACTGGAGAAAGGGTTCCTGTTAAAGGCGGATGCATCGCAACCTTCAAATACAGAGACCAGCAGATAAGAGCATTGCTACTGGTTGTGGATACAAGTGCACAACCAATCCTGGGACTCAAGGCATGTACAAAGCTCAACCTGGTCAAAAGAGTGTTTGTAGTGACATCATCAGAAACTGTCAATGATCATGACTCCCTGATGGAAGAGTATAAAGACTGCTTCGAAGGACTTGGATGTCTACCCGGAGAACACAAAATATGCATAGACAAAAGTGTGTCTCCTGTTGGGCATCCTTGTAGGAAAGTTCCTTTTGCATTGCGTGGAAAACTGAAAGAGGAACTGGCGCGCATGGAAAAACTAAAGGTCATCAAGAAAATAGATGAGCCGACTGAATGGGTCAGCTCGCTGGTTGTTGTACAAAAGAAAACCGGTGCTCTGAGAACGTGCTTGGACCCAAGAGACTTAAACAAAGCGATCAAAAGAGAGCACTTTAAGTTACCAACCAGAGAAGAAATCATGGCACAGTTTGCTGGAGCTAAATGGTTCAGCAAACTAGACGCTTCATCAGGTTTCTGGCAGCTGAGGCTGGACGAGGAGAGTTCGAAGCTGTGCACATTCAACACACCTGAGGGCAGGTACAGGTTTCTTCGTCTGCCGTATGGTATCCTGTCAGCGCCTGAAGTCTACCATAAGACTATTCATATGATCTTCGAGCACATACCAGGAGTGGAGACAATGATGGATGACGTCATAGTCTGGGGGTCGACTCGAGAAGAACACGACGAAAGACTGAGACAAGTGCTAGACAAGACAAGGGAAGTGAATCTGAAGCTTAACAAAGACAAATGTGAGTTTGGAGTGAAAACACTTACCTTTGTGGGAGATGTTGTCAGTGAAGAGGGGGTGAAGCCCGACCCGCGAAAAACGTCAGCAATCAACAACATGGAAAGACCAAACAACAAAGACGAGGTCAGACGTTTTCTGGGAATGGTCACCTATCTGGCCAAATTTGTCCCTCAGCTGTCAGCACAGTCAGCACCTCTCAGGAGTCTTCTTGAACAGAAGAATGAGTGGATCTGGTCCCATGAGCAGGAACAATGTTTTGTGAAACTGAAAGAGACTCTGACACAAGAGCCCGTGTTAAAGTTTTATGACCCAGAGAAGAAAACAAGGATTTCAGCAGATGCGTCACAGTATGGCTTGGGAGCGGTGCTGCTGCAGGAATACGATGAGCAGTGGCTACCCGTTGCTTATGCATCCAGAGCCTTGACAAGCGCTGAGTCCAGGTATGCTCAAATCGAGAAGGAGCTGTTAGCGAGCATGTACGCATGTGAACGTTTTCACCAATATGTCTATGGTCAAGCTTTTGAAGTGGAAACGGACCATAAACCTCTGGTGTCCATCATGTCCAAACCTCTGAATGACTGTCCTGTACGGATACAGCGCATGCTAATCAGGCTGCAAAAATATGACATACACATGATGTACACACAAGGGAAATACATGTACACCGCCGACACCTTGTCTAGAGCAGTGGATGAGGGGGAGCGTGCGGACAGCGAAGACACTGCAGAAATCCAGGCGTATGTGGATATGATTGTGTTGAATCTGCCGGTAACAGCTGACAGAACAGAACAAATACGCAGGGAGACAAATGCAGATGAAACGATGACAGAACTCAAACACACAATACAGACAGGATGGCCTGAAAACAGAAAGGATTGCCCCACGAAAATACAAGACTACTGGAACTGTAGATCTGAGCTCAGTGTGGTGGATGACTTAGTGTTGAAGGGGAGCAAGTTTGTTATTCCATCATCGTTACGTAAACAAATGCTCCAAAAGATACACGAAGGCCACCTCGGAGAAGTCAAGTGTAAACGGCGGGCAAGAGAAGTAATGTACTGGCCGAGAATCAATCAAGATATCAGCCAGACAACAGCGTCGTGTGAGCTATGTCGCATCTACAGGCCAAAACAACAAGCTGAGCCGCTGATGACTCACCCGGTGCCCCACAGACCGTACTACAAGGTTGGTACTGATCTCTTTGACTGTGATGGAAAGAGTTACATAGTGGTCACCGACTACTTTTCAAATTATCCAGAAGTTGGAGCGCTGCAGTCAACATCAAGCAAAGCAGTCATCAGCTACCTCAAGACTGTCTTTGCCAGGCATGGAGTGCCATGTGAACTGTTTTCAGACAATGGGCCCCAGTTTTCCAGCTGTGAGTTTGCTGCCTTTGCCAGGGAATGGGGATTTCAACACTCAACATCGAGTCCAACCTATCCAAAATCCAACGGCTTGGCAGAAAGCTCAGTGAAAACGGTAAAAAACATGATGAGGAAAGCACAGGACAGAGATGACTTTCAGAAGAGCTTACTGATCTATAGGAGTGCACCTCTACAGAACGGACTGTCACCAGCTCAAATGCTGATGGGTAGACGCATTCGCTCTAACCTACCAATAACTGAGGATTTGCTTACGCCAAAGAACGCACACAAAGTCAGAAAAATAAAGGAGGAACAAAAAGCAAAGCAGAAACAGCTGTATGATCGAACGGCAAAACACCTGCCAAAGCTGAGTCCTGGAGACCTGGTGCGTCTCAGGGACGTCTCTGCAGGCACATGGGGACAAAAGGGACAGGTGAAGGAGGAAGTTGCTCCACGCTCCTACAGGATCCAGACGGAGAATGGAGTGTCTCTGAGGAGGAACCGCACTGATCTGCAACTACGAACGACTGAGCAGGACAGTATAGTTCAAGAGACGGTTCAGGAGGACACAACTGAATCTACTGAGCTATCGGACAGTGGTCTGACAGCGACGTCTGCGTCAACGGCTGAGGCGACACCTTTCAGATTGCTGAAATCGCCGGCTGCTGAAAGTCAGGCTATACCTAGGAGACATGTTCAGCCACCTATGAGGTTGATTGAGAGTTGCTAGACTATCTTTAGTTTGTTTTGTTTGCAGAGAAGGAAAAGGCAATGTGTACCTTTTAATTTTGTCTTGTTCGAGTAAGTTTACTTAAGAAGGAAAAGGGGAAGTTGCAATTGTAGAAGTTGTTTACAAGTATAGTTTATATGTTACATTACACTTGCACTTAAAGATGGCTATGTTTTTACGGGGGAAAATATAATCTCATTGTAAGGGGAAAGATGTGATGTTACTAGATGTTACTGGTTACTGTTAAGGTAAAGAACTCCATCACCCAGCATTCCCTAGTCAGTGCTGAGGGGACATGCGCAGTGCGGAGCGCGGCAGACCCCGGGTAGCATTACAGCGGACTGTGCTAGTTGACATTAAAAGTTCATGAAACGTATATCACGCCTCGCCTGCTTATTATAAGAATACGCAAGGTACAACATGAACTATAGTTGAAATGCGTGAGGCTTCATAACCTGCAATGAGTTTATTACGTTAGATGTGTTTGGAGAAGCCTGTAACGGAGCGTCTCATCCACCGACGAAACGCTGCCTGCCGTCGCCGGGGGAACAGAGCAGAAAGGTCCGACAGTCTTTAAACGGGTCTTCATGTTTCTGTGAAGCAGCGCGGCTTCAGCCTGCTAACAGTCAGCTAAACCGAGGAGAGAGGGCTAGCGCAAATCGTGGCACCGGCGACATGCTGAGGCACTTCCTGTTGCAGGTTGCGGTGCCGCGGCGAATCGTGGCAGCTGCCTCGAGTTTACGGCAACTGCCTCGCCTGTTGCCTCGGCTGAGTGAGGTACCTCGAGCGGTACCACAAATTCAGGGGCCGGTTCATCGGTCGAGAGAGGTACCTCTAGCGGTACCTCGAGTTAAAGGAGTCTTGCCACGACCTAACGGGAGGAGGCAAGAGGGTGGACTTTTTTACTTGAAAAGTGCTGAAAGCTGTTTATATATATATTATAGTTATATATACATATTATAGGTATATAATATAGTTATATTACAGTTCATTCAAAGACCTATTTTTTTTCTCAGTGCTGAAGACACATCAGGAAGTGACAGAAAGCAGTGGTGAGAAATGTTCAAATCATTTGGGCATTCTGGGTGATGGGGTAAGTGATTGATCTGGTGATCTTTCGTGATGTTGGGTGTAGCTCTTCATAGACTGCTGCAATCCCTTTCAGCTCTGATCTAAAAGGGACAAGCATGTTGCTCCACTGTTCAATCACAAAAGCAGGCTCTCGAACCAGTTTTTGGTGAGCAAGCTCCTTCAAGATTTGCTCCATGCTCTGTGCTGTTGGAACCCTCCGGCAGTTGTTCATATCCAGGATTTCCAACAATTCTTCAAGGTCGACACCTTCAAAATCAGAACGATAAGATTCAAAGATTGCCTGCTCAGACTCTGAAACGTACTTGAAAACCATTGCACAAGATCGCTCTCCACAAAGCCGAAAACAGCTTTCTCCAGAAGAACAGGTGCGAGTTTTTTAGGGAGGTACTTCTCTCTTTGCCAGCCAAATGCGATTATTCGTCCAACACTTTCCCATTCTTTTGTACCAAAATCATGGCGTAGGTATGGCACTTTAAAGCCATTTCCCATGGTGCACTGCTCATAAAAGTCATTCCAAAATTCTGACAGTACATCCCTCAAAACACCACCATCATCGAAAGCCTTTTCAAACTTTCCATCAGGAAGAATAGCTTGAAAGCAAATGTTATCTTCCATGATACTTTCCTCAGAAAACACTAGAATAAGTTCTCTGAGAATCTGTCCACGATGAAGAACAATAACTTTCTTCACTCTTTCTCCCTGACTGGCTTGGTCCTGCAAAACATCCATGGGAGGAAGCAAAGCTGATGCAAATGATATGTCCTGAGAGAGAGCCACGGTGTCATCAAGAGAAGAGTACTCCATTCCAGACATGGTTTCTGTGTGGAAAGTTACTATGCCACTATCCTCTAAGCATCCACATGATGTAATGTGTTATGCTCTGGCAAGGTAGGCGCATCGGTATGGTTGACTGTGGTGTAAAGAAGGGACATACTTTCATCACTTGCATTTGCAAATTCTGTGCTGCTTCCAACATAAATTACATCAGAAACATTTATCTCCACATTGTCTGTTCCAGGAGTATTTGGAGAAGGACGGTAGGGATCAGATCTGTCATTTGTCTCTTCCTCTTTTTGCTCAGTGACATCACCGTTCTCTTCCTCAAGATGGATGTCATTGACAATGTCTTCTTCGTTGTTAAATAGAAACGCAGGAGAGGTAACTTTGTCTTTTCGTAGAGTTCCCCGATAGTGATACTATCATCCAATGAATGCTGCTGAAAGTCAGTTAAATCTATGTCAAAATCTGAACAGCTCCCTCTGCATTTACTCCAACTGGAAAAAACAACAGGGTAGCCTTTTCAATCAAGTTCTGTTTTTTACTGTTCTTTGGGACACTCTCTTTTCTGGTTCCCCCTCCCTTTTTGGCACGCATCTGTAAAAATCCCCCTTCGCGGAAATTCATCCATCCTATCTCAATTTTTCTCTTGAGTTTTTTGAGCATTCTTTGGAGTGGTTTGATGCTTTGACTGAAATACATGATCATCTTTGTTTTGTGAGAGCTTTCCTCTCAGTCGCTCAAAGATCTTTGACTTGCGACTGCTCGTTCTTTTTCTCTCCGTCTGCAGAAGCCAAACACAGCCAGACGATCACCATAGGATGGCAGGTACTCTCTCAGCTGGTCATCTGTCATGAGGTGTATGACACTGGAATCAATCTACAACGAAGGAATACTTTATTAATTCTATGCTCTGTGAAATGAATTGTAACAATGAATAACCTGCATTTGCGATACCAGATATTTATAAAGCTCTTCTTGACTTTAGTTTTTTTTTATGTTGAATCAAAATTTAAGCATTTCTTACATCAGCTACCTTCTTGTGTTCCATTCGCTGTATGTCCTCCTCAGGTACATGCCGTGACCTTAAGTAGTCACTTAGGTCCTCCATCTTGTGAAGGTTCAAACACCTCTGTTGAATAAAAGTTTACCTCAAATGTGATCTTAAATGAAACGTCTAAATACCACACCTTTGTTCTTTGACTTTAATAGAAATGTTCAGTTACCAGCATAATCACGTCATCCCCCTTTGAGAAATAAAGAAAAAACATTGCTTATTACTAACAGTTTTAATTTCCGTGTATGAATCAACATCACTGACGTTTCCCGGGCCATAGACAAAAAAAGTACCGGAAAAAGCGTACAATGACGAGTGTCCTGGTCATGCTAACATTATCTTTCGCGTGCCGGGTCAGCGCATTGCGTTTTAATGACGTTCATGGGATATTTCAACACGTACCAAATATTGTTTAAAGCGCTACGTTGATGTTATCCTCCGTTGAGAAACACACAGAACACGTCGCTGATTACTGACAGTTTTCATTTCCGTTTACGAACATTTAACGTTACGTTACCTCAGGGGAGCATGGTTCATCAACGGTGAAAATATATTGTAGCCAAAACTACATTAACTTCTATCTTGTAACGTGCTTAGCGTTAACAGTGAACTGATTAAGATAACGTATGGTCATGTATAACATTTACATTTTTAAAAAGTCACCCGTAATAGTTACCTCATTGAGAGTTGGATAGCGTATACATTGCAAAACCAGCGACCTTGTGACCGCGTCACGGAAGCTGCGCATGCGCATATCTTAAGTCAGCATTTCGACTTTTTAAGTCATAATTTCGACTTTTTAAGTCATTATTTTGACGTTCTAACCCTTCCTTTTTTTTTGTGGCGGAAATGCGCTTCCATACGTCTTAGTCTTGTCTTAGTCATGGAAAAAAGGTTTGTTAAACGAAAAAATTTTGTCATAGTTTTCGTCGACGAAATTAACACTGCCCCCAGCAAACCCCCTCTTGTCTCCGAAGCCACATATTGCCACAGTGACTCTCATAATTGCCTCACAAGCTAAAAAACCAAACTAGCATTGCAAAGAGAATAAAGTAGGGCAGCGATTCCCAAAGTGTGGGCCGCGAAGGTACTGCAGGTGGGCCACGAGAGGTCATTTACAATAAATAAATAAAGTTTTTTAATTTTCAATTTTTAAAAGTTTGAAATTAATATGAAAATATTTATGATGCGGCACATTAGGTATGTGAAACATTAGTTGATGAAGCACAAACAATTTAAACAGACAGATTAATAAAACAATAAGGCTCTCGCTCGAAACGGCTGCTCTTGTCCGCCTGTCGTTATTTAACAAAAGGGGCGCCCTCTTGTAGTATTAAAGTAAATACACCGCATTTGCCGCACTCCAAAGCGCACTTAAAAGGCTTTAATTTTCTCAAATAACGACAGTGCCTTATAATCCGGAGCCCTTATATTTATATGGATCAATTGGTTAATCGGTTGATCCATACTGGTTGTACACGGCGCCCAAGGCGCTCTGCCAAACATGCCAAAGCTCTTCTACGACGGCGAGATGCTGAGCGGAGCTCAAGCGCGTGAGATATGGAGCTTGTTTCAGGGCACGTCGGAGAAACAAAGCTGATGAGATAATGAGATTAAAGAGCGAGAGACGGTGCCCTTTTCTCTACAGTAGCTGAACCATCTTAACGGGGAAAAAAAGTTATTCTAAAAGGAGCCAAGATTTAAGGCGTAGATGGCGAGAGGGGCGGCGGGAGCGGACGCACCTCGCAGTCAAAAACAACAACAGCGAGCTCGTAGAAAACGCCTTTGAGCGCGAGCAGAGATTCTCCTCGCGAGCAACGAAGTTCACATTTCGCAAGCGAGCAAATACCTCGTGGAGACGGACTTTTGCTCACGGATGTTTGATTTTGGTTAAATTCTTGGTCATTTAATCATCCCTGCCAGTGAGCATTTTTTGGTTGAAAAGACGTTTAAAAGACGTCTATGCCCGACGTTGAAAAGACGTTGCAAAATGGTTTAAAAGTGAAAGTTATTTCAACGTTTATTCGTAGACGTTGTAAAGACGGCTATGTTTAGACCACATTTTAACGTGATTTTTAATACGGTAATATTTCGTCTTCTCTTGTGTGCTATATCATTATTTTGGGGGTTTAAAATGAAACTACGTCCACATTTGTAAGTTTACCACCGATATTATAAATCACGAATAGACGTTGAAACAACTTTCACTTTTAAACCATTTTGCAACGTCTTTTCAATGTCGGGCATAGACGTCTTTTAAACGTCTTTTCAACCCAAAAATGCTCACTGGCCCATTGAGCACAAGACGTAATTTCAACGTTGAAATATGGTTGAAATCGGGTTGAAATGAGGTCTGAACGTCTAAGACCTCATTTCAGCGTCTTTTCAACCGGCTAAAAATGGGATGAAACATCAACGTGCCAGAAAACGTCAAAAATGTCATGTTGTAACGTAAGGTTGAAAGAGAGACGATATTAACGTTAAGATTTTCATAATAATTAATGAACTGGTCGGCGAAATTTGGTCTACGCGAAGACGTAATTTCAACGTATTTAATATTTCACTTAAAACGTCATAAATATGAAACTACGGACTGCGTGCTGTTAATAAGATGCGTTTAAGACATAATAATGCGGGCAGGTTCAAACATTACTTGTAAACACGCTCCGCTCACATCTGTAACGCGCATGCGTGAGTTCTTAAGACGCCTGCAGAGCTCCGAGCGGACGAGGCGAAGTTACGGCAGCAGAGCGACATGAACGTGCTGATAGAACCACGACTACCGGCTCCACTGCTCTGTAAGTACGGGAGTGTTTGAATGAAGAACACCTGGAACTTTAACCGGGTAACTCGCGCATGCGCGTTACAGATGTGAGCGGAGTTACGTGTTTACAAGTAATGTTTGAACCTGCCCGCATTATTATGTCTTAAACGCATCTTATTAACAGCACGCAGTCCGTAGTTTCATATTTATGACGTTTTAAGTGAAATATTAAATACGTTGAAATCATGTCTTCGCGTAGACCAAATTTCGCCGACCAGTTCATTAATTATTATGAAAATCTTAACGTTAATATCGTCTCTCTTTCAACCTTACGTTACAACATGACACATTTATCAACAAATTGACGTTTTCTGGCACGTTGATGTTTCATCCCATTTTTAGCCGGTTGAAAAGACGTTGAACTGAGGTCTTAGACGTTCAGACCTCATTTCAACCCAATTTCAACCATATTTCAACGTTCAAATTACGTCTTGTGCTCACTGGGAAGGCTCAAATGCCCTTGAATTTCATATTATCTCTAAAGAGGAAGGGAGAAATGTTAAGTATTCAGAAACACATAGAACAGCCTCATTCCTCCCTCCGCCACCTTTTACGCAAACCTGAACTTGGTTTGAGGTTCCTCTCCTGTTACGCACCGCGGCTCACACTCCCCCCTCCCCGGCCCCCGCGTCCACCGCACTCCTTTCTCCCCACCCCACTCCTCCTCTGCAGCAGCTCTAACAGAGCTGTAACGGGACACTCAGGGCACACAAGGCTTCACCCGTCGCATCAACGTTCAGACTATCCCCCCGGCGCTGAGGATGCGGACGCCGCAGAGGCATCGCTGTTTCGGCGCATGTGGCGCGTTGACACCCTGATTGCGGGTTGAATGATCGGAGGGACCGCGGGGCGCCACGGGGGAGTTCGTGCCGATCCGGACCGCCGGAGATGAGTGCCGGGCTCGCGATGGTAAGATGCACTTCACAAGTTCCACCGATGCTCGCGGAGGTTTTGCGTGTAGCTCGAGATCTGCGGAGAAGTTCCAGTGCTGTCACAATACTTAGAACGAGGGATGCTGCTGTCCTTTTTTTTATCTTGTCAGCACGGCAACACACGGTAAGAAAGTCCAATTGGCTCCAGAACCGGTGTATTCGATTTAGGTTTAACTCTATTAATGAATCAAAGTTTTTCCTAATGTTAAATTATTTGTAATGTAAGGGTTGTTGTTGTATTGCTTTTTTTCTCTCCACGAAATCAGCAAAACATGATTATTAGAATCTAATCTAAGTAAAAATGTCTTGATATTAGACATAAATAGTCCCGGGACTCGATATGGTGTTAGTTGCATCGAGGCAACCCAATCCATATGAGACACATAGGATCCTGTTAACCTGTTAAATAATATAAGCTTAATGCCTGAAACAAGATTTGACTTGACTTGCACCTACTTCAATTTGCATACAGCATAACCTTTATTTTTGCTCAAAAGTGCCGTTATTAAATTTACAGTACGCTCTACTCATCTTGCAAAAATTCATCATCCGCAGCCTAAATAAAATTAAAAGAAAAAGAAGTTTGCTTTCCACATCCTTCCTGTCTGTGCTGTCCACTTCGTGTCGAGGCAGAGCCGATAACACCAGTGTGCCACCCGAAAATACCTCTTTTAATGAACTTTCCACCAAGAAAAAACTGCCGCATTCGCAGGGAATACATATCGATTAATAAGTTATTCATCGTGCCCCCTTTCCCCTGTGATGTGGAAATGAATCGTGAACAGAAGTGATTTATTGGTTGCACCAATACAGGATCCTGTCTTCCTGTATCTGAATTAGTGCTGCATGATGGTTCTGCCTCTTTGCTTTAAAATGTCTCTACAGTCCAGTCCTGCATTCAATAAGCTTGTAGGCACTCTAGATAGACACTGAGCCGAATTATCTCAGAGCCGAATTATCTCAGTAGAAAATGATACCTATGCTGACAGTGAGCAATATATGTAATGCTACTGTGTTTCTGACAAAGGCAGCGGCAACGTGCTCCTCGGGGCTGTGAGTCAGGTACAGTCACAGTGACAGATGAGTGCTGTATGTGTGCCCGTGTTATGTGTTTTAAAAAATGGATTAGAATTGCCCTCAGGATTGTGGCTTATTAAAATGCGGTGGCATGTGTAGAAAAATATATCATAGCTTTTACATTCACAACAAAAGATGGCAGGAGAAAAGTACAGGGCAGAACATTGAGTCTCTTGGGATAATTCCAGCTGTTTCAAGCTCGCCATTGTCCTTTCATCGTTTTCCCATCACAGGACTCAATCCTAAAACCGTCCTCCATTTAGGCCTTGGATCTCGGAGTGAATGTAATTTTCCATTTGTGTAAAAAATAAATGCAAACACGCTGCTCAAAACACACCTTCAAAGATGAAGAGTTATTCAGTGATGTTGGGATGGACCTTTTTTCATGCACACATGTTCTACTGTCAAAGTAGCAACGGCTCAAGTGTGATTCATTTGCATTGACAATGGCAAAATGGAATGCAGCTCGGGCTTTTCCTGCAATGACCTTCAAAAAAGCTCTTTAAAAGGGCTGTTGACGAGATTTTCCCCTGTGACAGCTGGTTTTCATGCGTGCGATTAGGTAGCTCAAGGACAAAAGACACAATTGTAAGTTAGTCACAGTTACAAATAATGTGATAACAATACCCAGTTTGGAAATCAACCACAACTCTTTCAGGGTTTGATACACAACAAGCCATTCTGGGCAAATGCAGTGCTTTACTGTGCCCGTACGTTCCATGGCAATTATATTGCCAAGAAAAACATTTCTGCGCTTCAGTGTCTGTTGACAAGACCTCTGCCCATCTAGTGTTCTTTTCCTACTTGCTCATTGGTTTTTCTGCGCACTTACTACAGCATAAACCAGCCGGGCTGGATCCTTATTGGATGTTGATGTGAGTGTAAGTTAATTTGCTTTGATCAAGTCTCGCGCTGACCACACTGACGGGCCGTTTATAGTTGCAGAGCTGATGCGCCCGTCTGTCATGCACTGAAAGGAAGACGAAGGATGCAGTCTCGCAGAGGCCTGCTCTCTGTCTCCTCTCTCTCTCCTTTTTTCTGTCTTCTCGCACATCTCCCGACTGGTCTTTCACTGTTATGTGTAACCTGCATTCATCGCACTCAATACTAGCTGCTTTCTGACAGAATCTATTTCTCTCTCAGTGCCTGCAAGATGCCACCTCGGCTCTAGGCCCTCCCTAATCCTGCCTGGGTGATCCAGAGGATCCCCCTAAGTCCCAGGACACCTCATGACTCATCCAGTTCATCCTCTCTAGCTATAAGACGCTGATCAATTCAAACAACTCTCTCTGGGGTTTTCCTTTCTCCCTCTCATCTGATGCTGAATCCTGATGCACAAACTGAGTCTATCATGAACCTCTGACGGAGCCGCCAAGACTCGTCCACATAAAGAAATGTCAATAGGAATTCTGATACTCCTCGTTTCTCTTCTCCCTGGGTTTTCCCTGTTGTTTGTTGGCAGCCAAGACCATAGCTTGTCAAACACTGAGAAATAACTCCTTGTTATGAGGGACGCTGGGGCCCAAAAGACTGGAAGGTACGGCCATTTTTATGTTTCGGTTGTGTGCAGTAGACCCGGGCTGCGGCCAGAAAGTTGTTCTAGTTTACAAGATTTAACATAAGTTTTTGGAGGCTGAGACAGAGAAGAAAAATAAATTGACGCACTACATGTTCCTTCTGCCTTTTGTTACTTGATCTGCGCTGCCCAGTGCGGAGCAGCGAGCTTTCCAGATGCTGCCATGCCCATCATCAGCAACGCCAACCATGACTTCAGCAACCTGTCCGTCAGCGACGACAGCAGCCTGGACCACATCTTCACGGAAATACCCGAGACGGCGACCATCAAGGTATGAATGAGATGTGAATATGTCTCTAATGAGGGAGATGAAGGAATTGATTAGTCACACCAAGTAGGTGATCGAGTTGTTTGCCAATATTTCAAATGTGGCTGCACATCCATTGATGCTTTTTTTAATCATTCTCTCTCCAGGGCGTGTACTACCAGAGGGCTCAGCTCATCCGTCGACCGGAGGACCTGGTGTCCATTGACCACGCGCTACTGGCGGTGATAAATGTCGGGGGAAACCGCTACACCTTCCCCTGGAGCACTCTGGAGCAGTTCCCCCTGACAAGACTCGGCCGCCTGTGTGGCTGCCGATCGGCCGAGGACATCGCCCGGGTCTGTGACGACTATGACGAAGCGCAAAAGGAGTTCTTCTTCGACCGCTCGCCCTCGGCCTTCAGGGTCATACTCAACTTCCTGGCCGCGGGGAAACTGCGCCTGCTGAGGGAGATGTGCGTCCTCTCCCTGCACGACGAGCTGACCTACTGGGGGGTGGAGATAACGTACATGGAGCGCTGCTGCAAGCGGAAGATGTACACTCGCATCGAGGAGGTGAACGAGCTGGAGAGGCGCGAGGAGGAGTGCAGGCAGAGGAACGCCATGCAGCGCGTGCCGGTGGAGGAGACGAGGTACAGAAAGGTGATGAACTGGCTGAGAGATATGGTGGAGAATCCGCAGTCTGGCTTACCAGGGAAGATCTTTGCCTGCCTGTCTGTGATCATGGTTGCGGTGACTGTCATCAGCTTGTGCATCAGCACCATGCCAGACCTCAGAGAAGAAGAGGACCGGGTGAGTGAATCAGGATGTTGGAATGTCGTGAGCCCCGAACTAAATAAATCCATTATAATACCTAAAGTTAAATTGTTGGAACACATCTTGTGCGCGTTTCAGAGTGATGCAGCAAAAAGTCAGGCTTCAAAACTCAAATATAACAACTCCCTGTCACACCTTCTTAAACTCAAAGGATGCTGTTTGTGTGTTTGTGTGTGTGTGTGTGTCCTGTGATCTGCGTCTACCCATAACAGCGTGGGATACTGAAGCCGGAGCTACTCACTGAGGCCTGTCCAGTGTCTGTCAGTAAATACTAGGGAATAATGAAATGAGCCTACTTTATCTCACACAAACGAAGTGCACACGCAGAAGTGTGTGTATCGGTAGATACACTCACAGTCGCACGCATTTGTACACGTAAAAATACAACAAACACACACATGCACATACAAAAACAGTGAACTCATCCACTGAAACTGATACGGCTTTCTCTGAATTTCGCACACATTTAGTCTTGAGTCTTTTGTGCCGTTGAAACTACATTAAAGTCTTACTGCAGCTTATCCTCAATTCATTTATGCATTTCTAATTACATTTAGGTTTTTACCTTCAGGCACATATTCTATGTTTAAGGTTGCCCACCTTACTTGCAATGCATCTTTAAATAATAAATAGTATATGTAAATGCATCCTTTGCAAAGACCGCTGCCAGACAACACTGCACATATGCTCCACAGCTGTGGAGAAATCGCCATCTGCAGCGCCCCTGTATCAATTCTCAAACGAGCAGTCACAGGCAGCCAGAGCATCGTGTGCATGAAGGTGTGATACTGTAGAATTTAGGGGAAGTGGAAGAGGAGAGCGCCGGTGAGCTGAGAAAGCTCGGCCAGGACAAGTCCCGCAGTCGCTTACTGTCATACGGACACAGACAGACGGACGGGATTGGATAGAATCCCGTCCGTCTGATTCACAGTGGGCTGTAAAACCTGCATTGGTCAGCAGAAGCAGAGACACAATACAGGTGTTATTGACAAGATATTGGACTTCACTGCTTGTAAATGCCTGAGGTAAACAGAGTAGCAGCGGTGGAGGTGTCCTCAGAGGCCCCGGAGCACCCGCACCAACTGCTTGCATGCCCAACCTTTGCTGTAGTTGTACTGTATTGATTTCTCATGATTGATCTGTTGTTTGTATGCTGTCCAACGTCAACATGCCTTGTTATGAAATGATGGGTTGCAAGGACAACTTTGACACGGCACTCTAGAAGTACGCGGACGGGCAGAGAAAACGGAGATCTTTGGGAGGCTTTAAGATTGTAATTTTACCCACAAAGAGGAAGCTGACACACGGTATAAAGTTTCCCCGTCACATCTTCAGCAAACCTATGTTTGTGGCTGCGGAAAGTCTCAGTCTTGCTTTTTCTTTGTATGGTTCTGAGGACATTGTGGGCTGTAAGGACATTTTAGGATGCGTAATCCACACAAAAGGCGGCAGATCCATCTGCTTTTCTCTCCACACGTTGCCCTCCGTCCGTCCGGCCCGCTCAGTGCAGCCGTCATCTTTAATTCACAGGGCTCTGGTGTTTGTCTCCTTCTCCGGTCTGCCAGGCGCTGCAGCGGGCCAACATTCCTCTGTGCAGCCGCCATCCATCCTGCTCTTCTGTTTCGCTCGTTGTTGGGTGACGACTGTGAAAGGAGTGACAGAATGAGTGGAAGGTGAAGGAAGATAACAGAAACGGGATATATGTTTGAGAGAGGGAAACCGGATTAGTGTGAGATTCTAGCCGGGTGAAAATCAACAGATAAACAGTGCTTCATTTGCCCCTACTTCCAGTGCTCAGTTGATCCCTTCTATCAAACAATATATCACTATGGAGTAAATGCTTGAGGAAGGGCATTTATTTTACAAATCTGTTTCAAGACCCCTGATAATAACTAATCCGTCAAAATCTCAATCTCCTGCTGTGTGTGTGTGTAGCTCTCCACTGAGTAAGTGCCCTGCTCTTTATGTAAAATCGCTCCATATGATTGTATAGCCACTGTTATTCCATCCTGCAGTGTATAGTTGCAACATTCTCCTGACTTTCAGAAATGCAAATAGATGAATGAATTAAATATTGATACATATTCAGGTAGTCAAAACAGAAGCGTCTTTTGAGACCAGGCAAGAAAAAGTTCAACGACCTGTGAAATATTTGAATATTCTGTTTTCTGTTATTATGGACATCTGTGCACGTTTTAGACCACTTCAGAGTGAGGAAGTGGACAATGTCTTCCAATATTTACTTGCCGTTCACTGCTTTTATTCTGGGTAAAATAAAAAAACTCATCGTCCGTAGTTCATGAGACATATTTCCACTATTTGACTACATTCCTAACTGAGCACCGACCATCCTAATCTGTGGTAGGAGAGCAACCGTGTTTAGATTGGAAGGAACAGGGTGTATGCAGCTTTTAAATCTCTCTGGAAAGAGCGCTTTTCTTAGAACACACTGATGACCTTCCCGAGTTTACATTTCATGCCTGTTCAAATGTCAAAACTCCACCACCACACACAGAGAGAGAGAGCGCCTTTCCTTCTTGCTAATCTTTCCGCAAAGCAACAATCTTTCTCTCTTCATTCATTTCTATGCAATTTTCCAAACACAACATCAAAGGCCTTTTCACTCTCAGCAAGTGACACTCAGATACATGCATTCATTATTCTGACAGAGTATTTTCAGACAGCCTCATCAGAATTGCTCTCCTTCTCCTAATTCAGTTGTATTCCGGCCCGGGGGAGTCACTGAAGTGGCAGCTTTATGTCCTTAATGCCGTGAATTGGAAGGGATTTGCTGTCCAATAATCACGTCACAGGGCATCAATCACAGGAATCTGGCAAGGGAGGGACAGAGAGAGTGATGGAGTGAGATCCAGCCAAGTAGCAGACTGCACGATTTCCGCTTCAGACTGTGGGTTTGAAACGTTTTCTGATTGACTTAATATCTTCTTCTCAAGCAGAAACTTGTCAATAGTCGTATTGAACCATTGACACAGTCAGAGCAAGTGAGTATCGATACGACGGAAAGTTGTGTGGGATTTCTTCTTCTGGTAAGCGTGAGTCATTGCGAAGGAGTGCGAGATAACGAGAAAACACAGTGGGAGGTAAACACTCCACCAGCCACTGAGCCTCCTTTTGTCTCCTTCCTACACTCCTCTCTCCTCCCTGAGCAGCTGTATCACCAGGGGCCCATGAGGAAGACGGGGCACGCATAAGAAAGAGCACTCTTATTCCCAGGACGTGTACATGTATCCTTGGCTTTCTTTAGAACAAAGTAATACTTTATACTATTTTAAAAATGCATCCAAAAAACCCCATCCATTGTCGAATTACTATAAAATTCCTCAACACGTGCTGTAGCGTTAAGGAGGCACGAGGAAAACATGTTTCCCTTGTCAAGAGCAAACTGTCATAAAAAAATACAACCAAGCGCTGTTGGCAATGGAGATCATCAGTAAAAAAAAAAGATTTGTTTGCCAAAGCTGAACAAATGAATACATTGCTCGCCAAAGGGTCGCTCTTCATCATGAGGGTTTAATTCTGCGATCTCAACAAGCTGCAAAAATAATCGTTGTTGTGGTTACTTACTTCCATAATCCCACAGCACACACTTTCTTGCAGAGGCTCCAGAGGAGGCAATAAGTCGAGTAGCATGCACCCTTTTTACATTGCAAAATGTAATGCTAATGATATTAAGATGAAGTCCGTTTTTGCATTAGTGTGTGCATGTGATCGCACTGAGTCTGTCAGGCGACCTTTCATGCTCGTCGTGTTAAACGTAGATGCAGTGGCGGAATGTGAATGTTACACCCTTCAACAGTAAAGGTTAGTCCATCGTAATATGGTCTCCAGACCTCTCCTAAGAATGGTAACCGTCACTGTTGTTGGTGTCTGACTCGTGAGGAAAACAATTTGTGATCTGCCCGCTGTTGTCACAGTCTGTAGTTGTATAGTGAGGAGGGTAACCAAGAAAGTTTCATTATCTGTATGTGACCTACACTATTTGGATTAAAAAAAGGAGATATTTTGCTATGATTGTCTGCTTGTCATATCTCCAAAAGCCAGAAACAGCCAGTTTGTGATTTTATCTTTCGTACCAATGTCCAGCTCCAATGAGAATCATTTTGAAAAGATCAAAGTGTTGGCTATGATAAAGTCTGTACCCCTCCTGCTTCTGAACTGTGCAGAATTGCATTATGTGAATCAACAAAGCCAGTTTCCAAATGTATTGTCCCGGAGGGGGAGTTGTGATTCGTTATCAAACATTTGTGACTGGCCGGACATGAAAGCATGAATGAATTTACGCTGCCGCTCAAAGCAACACAGTCTGATGTGCAATTATACGGCATTATGAACTCGGCTTTGGCATAACACAATTGCATAAATCTATTTTCTTCATGGCACATAAGCATATCTAAGGGAATTCAATTCCATACCTGAGATGTGAAACAAACAATAGGCGGTTTCAAAGAACAGTAGGGCTTAAAGTGACTCATACTGTGTGTGTGTGTGTGTGTGTGTGTGTGTGTGTGTGTGTGTGTACTCTTTTTGTCTTTTTTATACACGGTCCGCTTTTTACACCTGCTGAGCCGCAAAGACAAAGGGCCGTCATCAATCACGAGCCTTGTTGGAGTGTGTAACAACAGGGGCACAAAATTAAGAATTAATTAAGAAGCCGAGTATCATGTGCCACATTTTTTTTACCTCCCCCTCAAAACTCTATTATACAAACACTGAAGGAGCCTAAATAGGTGTCCGAGTCTGTAAGCGTTGTTGGCTCAGCGTGGTGGGACTGATGCTGGCAGCGAGTCAGAGCCGCTACGAGTCAAAGGAAGCAAATGAGACTTGAGGCTCGCCGAGGGCTGGAGAGAGAGTATGAAGGCAGAGGAAAGAGGAAGGAGAACCACAACGTCAGATGCAGAAAAGGAGAGACGGGGTGGTAAACAAAATAATGTAGTCATAATTCCTCACACACCTAC